ATAATACTAGTCAGTTATTGCCTAGGCCGTCCTTCAATTTGAAATTGTTTAATCTTAAAAAAAAATAAATTGTTTAATCTTTTCTCATTAGGAATAAGGTTATGCATTTTTGATGAGAATACCACAAGAATGAGGTATTTATTCTCCTCAGTGCACATATCAAGAGGTACATCACGTCAGTATGTCCTGTTACTGGTGATGTTAACCTTGATTAAGATAGTGTCTTTTGGGCTTCTTCGTTGTAAACTATTTTTCCCTTAGTAAATATCTTGGGGAATATATTTTGAAACTATTAAAGTACAGCATTTTTCTTACACTTTTGGCCATTAATTTTGATATTCATTAGCAAAGCCGGTCTGCAACAATTATTACTGTGATATCTGCCTAATAGTGATTGTCAATTTCCCTACCTATTTATAAGGCAGAACTCTTCTGTAACAATAAGTTTGAGTATTTTCCAAATGTTTGATGGCCAGTATAAGGCATATATCTGTGTCATCTGTATCTTTTCCCAACCAACATTTTTCTATCAGATTCTTATCCATTTTTGTTTAATTTTGAAGTTCTTTATATAGCAGGGATAATAGGCCTCTCTGTGATACATATTACAAATATTTTTCCCCAGTCAGTTCTCTTTTGACTGTTTATGGTTGGTTGTTTTTGCAATTTTAAAAATGTAGTCAAATTTACCAATCTTTCCTTTTGTTAGGTCTGATTTCTGGGTCATGTTAAAAAGCCATTCCCAAGGTTAAAGAATTATTATTTTAGTACCTATATGATTAGACGTTTAGCATTTCAACTCTTGACCCATTTGGTGTTTGTTCTTCGGAATACTGTAATATACAAAATCATCTTTTTCCAAATGACTACTGAGTTGTCCTATCACCATATTTTAAGCCTATCTTTATTCCTAATGATATGAGATCTGACCTTTGTCACATAAAATCCTGGACTGTCTACTCCACCCCATTGATCCAGTATCCATTCATGTGCAATTACCACACTATTTAATAGAGGATGTTTTAATGTCTGGTAGGGCTTTCTACACATAGTTTTTTCTTTTCCAGTGTTTTCCTGGCTATTCTTACACGTTTATTTTTCCTTGTGAACTTTCATATCAACTTGTCTGAACTTTATTTTTGTCTGAACTTTATTAAATAGTTGTTATTATTTTCATTAGCATTACAGTGAATTTATAAATTCATTTAGGGAAGAATGGTCATCTTTAGAAGCCACAGAATTTAAGAACAAGGGATGACTTTCCATCTGTTTAAGTCTACTTTTGTGTTTTTTGAATGTTTAAAAAGTTTTCCTTTTATAGGTTTCATACATTTGTTAAATTTACCCCAATATTTAATTTTCTGTTATTACTATAAGCGATATCTTCCTTAATATATCTTGTTTATTATTTATGTATAAGAAAACTATTGGTTTTTGTATGTTAATTTTACAATTATTGTAAAATTATTTGCTTTATTGTTTGAGTTAGTTTTATCATTGATTGTCTGGAGTTTTCCAAATATACTACTGTATCATCTCCAAACTGAGACTTTTACTACTGCTCATCCCTTCTTATGCTTCCAATTGATTTTTCTAACCTAACTGTAAAGGGTAAAACCACTTATACAATGTTAAATAGCAGAAATAGTAGAAATATCCTTGCATTGTTCAAGATCTTAGTGGAAATGACTCTAGTGTTTCTCCATTAAATAACATACTGACTTTAGGAGTAAAGTATACACATTTTTAAAAAGATTTTATTTATTTGACAGAGAGAGAGAGAGAGAGAGAGAGAAAGCACGAGTGAGCACAAGCAGGGGGAGTGGTAGGCAGAGAGAGAGGAGAGGCACACTCCCTGCTGAGCAAGGAAGCCCTTATGTGGGGCTCGATCCCAGGACCCCAGGATCATGACCCAAGCTGAAAGTAGATGCTTAACAGACTGAGATACCTAGGCACCCCAAGTATAACATTTCTGATAATATTCTCTATAACAGAAGAATAAATGAATAGTTTCTTAACAAAATGCATACATCAAAAACCCTAAAAAATAAAAAACAAAAAAAAAACCCCAAAAAACAAAATGTATACATCATGCCAAAATCCACACCATGCTTAATGAAGAAAATGTGGAAGCATTCCCATCAGAGACTGAAGACAAGGATTCCCCATTGTTAACATGTTTCCAAAATTAACTATTAATCGATTTAGTCTATTGAAGGAAATAGGAAACATTAATATTAGAAAGGCAGAAGCGTCATCATTTGCAATGATGTAATCAGCTGCTTGGAATACTCAAGATAACAAAATAAAACTTTGAAAAATAAATGAAAGAATCCAGTGAGCTGCTGCATACTACAGTAACATTACTTGAAATGTCCATCTGACCTTTATGAGGCATGGCCTCACAACTGGGTACTATCTAGATGAGATTTTCTCTACTATACATAATACAGGTCCAAAAACTTATTTTTCTGCATATATTAAAAACTAGTCAGGTTTAAAAAATTGAAATTGATTCATATTAACTAAACACAAGGAAGGTAACTGATTAACCATAATAATTTGCTAATTTACAGAGAAAAACATAAATGCCAAAAATACACATACTTCATCTTAAATTCTGGTGTGTATTATAGTGTGGCCCCATATGAAGTGACTGTAACAGTAAAATATGTTCTCTCTACATTGTAATTGTCAACCGTTAATAAGAGTTTAACAGGTAAGCACATAGCATTGCATGTTCTGATGGCTGATAATTCTTCTCAGAGAATTTAGGGCAATAAGTGTATTCTGAATAGATTATAGTATGGAAAGTGATTTGTTTCTTACTAACTATTCAAATAATGCTGTTCATACTTTATAGCAGGACTTTATACAAACTACATAATAGTCACTGATGAATATTTAATCTATGTTGTTAAAAGTTAAGAGACTGGACAACCTTTGAAGAAACAGATGGCAATAGTAATTTGGAGGGGGCCTGACAGATGATTTCTGAATTGCTGGTAATTCTTATTATGGTGATTTCACAGGTATGATCACTTTGTGACAATGCATACTTTAGATATCTGTGCACTTTTTCTGTATATGTATTTTATACTTGAGTCAAGAGTTAATTTTTAAAAATAAGCAGAAAACTGAAACAAAATAAAAACAAACCACACAAAAGACCACTTACATCCTCAATAAAGTATAGTTTCTTTGGAAGCATGTTGTATTGCACTTACGGTCTCTGTTGAAAACAGTAACAAAAAAACTCATCTTTGAACTCTAAAATCCTTCAGCTTGAGGAGATGCCCACACTATTTGGTAACTGTGGAAAGGCAAATTCACATCTTCTATTTTAACTTTTCCCATGTGTGTGGTCTGAAGTAGAATGGGAGGCTTACTTGTTCTCTATCAACTGTCATGTGTCTTTGATTATTTTCACCCTCTTTTTCTGCTTTCTCTTATTCTTAGACATCTATAGTTGAATCTCTTTAAGCTTCACTTGCATATGATACAACTAAGCTGTATACACTAGAGAAGAAAAACAATTCTATCTTACTAAACTGCAACATCCCCATCCAGATGCTATGGCACATCAATCAACTCAAAACTCCTCACACTAACTCACATTTTTCCCTCAGGACTGAGAGGTCCTCTCCCACCTGACCTCTCCAGAGCAGCGGAACTCCCCTAGGCTAAAGCCTAGGAAACACTACTGCTTCCTTTCCCTTTAATATCTAGGCCCACCCATAGGGCATCATCTTCCACCTCTGCGAAGTCTTTCTCTCTTATTACAAAAACCTCCCCATCACTCTTCTCTTCCTCATTCCAATTAATCTTTCATACTGTCACCAGATTAACCTCACTGAGGAAAAACTGTGAGCATGGCATACGTGCTGAAAAAACATGCAACAGTTTTCCCTGCATTCTGAAAAGAAGCCCAATCCTGGCTTTCAATTTCTATAGAGAATTTCTATAAACATCCATGAAATTAGCCCTCTTTTCTGGCCAACATTAAAGTTATTTTAACCACTAAAAGAGGAAACATACTGTACATTATGAAAAGCAAGACAAATAAACAGAAAACCAAGGGAAAAAAATCCAATTCAACCTGTTTTCTGAATAAGACATAAACATAACTATCACTCAAGATGGAAGAGCCAAAGAAAAGTCAGAAGCAAATAAATAAATCCATCCACAGTTGGAAAATGTTTAGTTATAGGCAAATGTCACCTCCTTGAATGTAAATCTAAATCTAGTTTCTAGGTTCCAAAGACTGAAGGGTAATTTGAGGAAATAATGATGCTATATTTGAGCAATTTCTAAGACTTTCCCCAAGCTTGATTCTTATTTTCCTTACTATAGCATGTTTGGGTCATTCTCCATAAGAAAACACTCAGGACAGATACTGTAGCAAGGCTGCTATCTCTGATCAGGCTTTTTTTGTTGTTGTTTTTGAGTAACTTACAGTATAAAGAAAAACAAAGTAACAATATAAAGACTGATGTTCTCTTATCATTTTATCTCATGACAAGTTTGAAAACATCCTCCCATAACAAGAATAAATATTCCTTAGAAGTAATGATTTGATCCATACTCTGTAATTTAGTGTTCACAGTCACTTTACAGAACATAATCACTAACAAGAATCAAGTGTATCTCTAGGGAGCATATTTTACTTGCAACAAGAAAATCACTAAAATGGATAGATACACATAAAACATAATACAAGAAGACTGTTTAAAAATTAAGTACATTAAATGTAGTAAAATCTGGAGTAGGGATGGCAAACAGATCTCATCTTGCACATTAGCTCAAAAGAATGAGTTCTGAAGAAGGTGCCTTCTGCAGCTGTGCTCTGGCATACCCAGGAAAGAGTATTAAATGCAATCAGTAATATAGTTCAGAGGCATGAGAAGGATGAGTAATAATACTTGTATCATATATTTGCCATCCCTGGGCTACTGTACTTCAAATAATCTCCAAGAATACACAATCACACAATTACTTACTGCTTCCACAGAGTTACATTCCCGTCTTGTTTCTAAATAACGTAGTGCTCTTTTTTCTTCTTCTTTTAATTTAGCATCTGCCTGCCCAGAAGCAAAATAGCAATCATTTTTAAGAATATCAAGAGAATGGCTCAAATTATCACATATACTAAGTTCTGACTTACATATTTCATATAATTCTGTACACCATTTTGTTGTAAATACGAGGGTGCCTGTGTTCTATAAAATCTCTCTGTTGAATCCAAGTATGCCTTCTCAAAATTGTCCCTATAAATTTGAAGCTTATCCTCAGGATTAGAACAAAGGTTAACTGAAAAACAGAAAATAAAATTTTACTCTAAGTATGTTTCAAATCAGTAGTTTGAGTACAATAAATGAAATAACAAATAGTGAGGAGTCATTATGTGCAAGGGATTGTGACAATGCTCAAGAGAACATATATCACAGAAGACAAAATCCTTCTCCACAAGAGACTTTAAAAAGGTAACAGCACAAAGCACTAAAGTGGCAAACAGTACAGACAACACAGGCTATTGTATTTCTGAAGACAAAAGAGAATGACTTTCAGCTATATGGTCAAGAGACCATTCACAGACGAGATGGGATTTGAGATGGGTCTTAAGGAAAAACTAGAATTTACACAAAAGCTAGTCAGATAAGTAAATATTCTCAAGTACAAAATCACAAGGGCAAGCCAAAGTAAAATGACCAGGTCGTCTGTGTGGACTGTAAGGTTAACAGAAAACAAGGTAGAATGGGAAGTTAGGAGTGGCTGTGGAGAGCCGAGGCTCTGGGGCTAAGTGACCTGAGTCACTAAATGGAGGATCGCTAAATGGGTACGAAAAATACTAACAAAATAATACTTAAAAATTAACCTTGTGAATAGCATATGGGTTAAATGATAGCAAGTAAGATCACTGAAAGAAGACTATTTCACAAGTCCAAAAGCAGAGTTTACATAGTAAAAACTGGTGGTAGTTGAATAAGAAGGAATAAATTTCAACGACATGGCTAATGAAAGCCTAAAGACTTTGATACTGGGCTGCCCCGGTGGCACAGTGGTTTGGCACTGCCTGCAGCCTGGGGTGTGATCCTGGAGACCCAGGATCAAGTCCCACTTTCGGGCTCCCTGCATGGAGCCTGCTTCTCCCTCTGTCTGTGTCTCTGCCTCTCTTTCTCTGTGTCTATGAATAAATAAATAAAATCTTTAAAAAATAAAATAAAATAAAATAAAATAAAATAAAATAAAATAAAATAAAATAAAATAAAATAAAATAAAATAAAATAAAATAAAATAAAATAAAATAAAATAAAATAAAAAAATAAAATAAAATAAAATAAAATACTTTGATACCTAAAGAAATATGGGGACAGCAGAGAAAGCCAATCAAAGATAGCTGAAGGTTCATTAATACAAAAAACTCTTACAGAGGAATACTTTGTGCCTATGTTTTATGTTCAGTGAAGATGTAGCGTCAACAATACAGTTAACTAAAGTATGATGACAGGGGCATGGGGGCTATGAAGCACTGTGAGAGGAACCTAACCTAGTCTGGGAATTCGGAAAGGCCTCTGTGAGGAAACAGGATGAGGAGGAGCTAGAAGTATAGTGGGAGCAGGATGAATATTCTCATATTCAGTTTGAATATCAGAATAGTTTAGCTGATTTAAAGAACAAATGAGAATATCATGAGAATATCATTCAGAAACTGAAAAGTTTAGAGAGGAACGCATACACAGAATAAACGTACTTCCTGAAAATGTAAGTATAAAACCAATTACCTACCACCTTTTCTGGGCTATCAATTCAAATCTATATTTCTGTAATTTAAGTCACTAAAAGGATTAGATTTCACCAGCCAAGAAATGAGTAAGATGGAGAAAACCAATATTATCCACACGAATATGGGTTTTTCTATATTTCCCTGAAGAGATTAACACCTTCTGTAGGCTCTTAAAAGCATGTGGTGCTAAAAGTAGATATATAATAGCACACATGACTCTGATTGTGCTGTTCCATAATGGTCTCAGAATTTCCATAAAAAAATTATGATCATAAAAGTTCAGAACATACCATAGGATTCTCTTACTCCAATGACCAGTTGAGAATCAAATGCTTCTCCTAATCTTTCAGCATGTACCAGCTTCATTGCACTATCCTGGAGTCTGTTTTTTATATTTGAAAAGATTGACTCATTCCATGTATCAAGCATGAGCTAGGAAAAAAAGAAATATGCAATCATTTTGATTATTAATATACCACGTACCATACAGACTCACAATAAATTTTAACTATAAACACTAAAAAAGGAAAAAAAATTCTTATATTCAACTTGAAAACTTCAGGGAACTAATAATGTATTTACATTCGGTAAAAAAAAACACATGATAAATGTTAAAGAACACATGTTTCAAAATCAACATAATTGGATTTGAATTATAGCTCTGCTACTTATTTACTGGATTTCCCATCTATAAAATAGTAAAATTGTAACACAAATTTCAAGTGGTTGTTGTAAAAATTAAATATAGCAATACATGGAAAAGGTTACCTCCTCTACAGTTACAAGGTTAAGTTGCAGAAATACTGCGCTTTGGAATGCTCATATACATGTTTGTATAAACACATAATAAGTGCAAAAAGCACCAAATGAAAACCTATTGGATACTGGACCTTAAAAAAACATAAATCCATCTGACAGATGTTCCATTTAAGTGATGGCAACATTATATATATATATATATATATATATATCCATATATATTATCATTCCAAGTAACTGTGTCAGATACAGAAAACATATTAATGACAACAGCACCAGCATCAATGATAACAATAACAGATATGTAACATTCACAGCATACTTAGCACTGCTTTGAGTACTTTTCACACACAACTTTAATCCTCAAAACCGATATATAGGTACTGTTATCTCCCTTTTTAGAAATGAGAATCTGGGGCATTGAAAGGAAAGCTAACTTTCCCACACTTATCCAGCTCATAAATGGTAGCACCAGGATGTGAATCCAACAGATATGTTTCCAGAATCTATGCTCTTAATCATTAAGTGATGCTGATTCCTATAATCAGTAGGGAATGGTATAAATTAAAATAATAACAAAAACAAGAGAGGTCAAGATTATGGGCCTGCAAATTTAAAAAGTATCTAGAAGTAGTTTTTCTTTTTTGGAGAGAGGAATATAGTTTCTCATACTGCAGTTATTTCTACCACTGGAATCTAAATTCACAGCATCCCTATCCACATCAGCACAAAGATTACAAGGGGCACGAATCCCTATGCGACTATTTGAACGGCTTACTTTGTTCTATAACCATCATAGCAAGTAACAAGTTGTTTAAAGCCCAAGTGGCACTTTTCACTTTTTTACTTTTCTTTTTTTTTAAATTTATTTATGATAGTGAGAGAGAGAGAGAGAGAGAGAGAGAGAGAGAGAGAGAGAGGCAGAGACACAGGCAGAGGGAGAAGCAGGCTCCATGCACCGGGAGCCCGACATGGGATTCGATCCCGGGTCTCCAGGATCGCGCCCTGGGCCAAAGGCAGGCGCCAAACTGCTGCGCCACCCAGGGATCCCCTTTTTTACTTTTCAAATCAATGATTCCATTTGATTCTCAAAAGCAAGAATACATATGAGAAATGACAGAGTTTAGGTCATTACTGATTGAAGAGTTGAAAAGAAAACCTGAGATTCTACTTTCAGAGCTGAGTTCTTTCCATTAAATCACGAAAGGTTACTGGACACAGAGCTTTTAACTAGAAACTATGCAAAAAATATGAAAATAAACACAGTACACAGTGAGTTTATGATAACCAGAATCAAGTAAAAAGATCATGAAAGTAACAACAATTTAGCCACAATTAAATACAAAGATATAAGATGGTAACCTAATGAGAGATTTTTGAAAGAAGAAAGAAGCAATTCATAGGAAGATAAAAGTACAAAGGAAGAGAAGGAAATAGAATACTGAAGATAAAACTAGGAAAACAAGGTGCTAACACCTGAGGATATGGATCCACAACTTAACACCACAGGACATAATGAAAGGAAGTGCAGCTCAATACTGATGGAAGAAAGTTAGTAGAATTCAGTAAAACCCACCAAGAATCGAAAAGGAATTTATACATCAAGTAGAAGAACCCACTTAAAGTCTGATTTACTTTTGAAAGTTGTAGAATCACCCTCTTTCTAAAGTATATTAAGGAGGAACAATGCAAAAGTTAACTTACTTTTCGAACAATGCTGTCTTCCACAGTTGATTTTTTATTGCTGCCCTGTTTACCCATTAAAGTAATCTCCAATTGACAAAATGGCTTTGGTAAAATATCACACTGTGTAAAGAATTTTCGCCATTCAACAATGTATGCTTTTAGCAAAGCTGTATCATCTTGATGGCTCAGTACTCGCTGAAAAAAAAAGAATCATATGAATTTAAAATAAATACAGGTATTCTTATTGAAAGAATAATAGAACATATTCATACTATAAAAGCAATGTCCACAATAGCCAAACTGTGGAAGGAGCCTCAGTGTCCATCGAAAGATGAATGGATAAAGAAGATGTGGTTTATGTATACAATGGAATATTACTCAGCCATTAGAAATGACAAATACCCACCATTTGCTTCGATGTGGATGGAACTGGAGGGTATTATGCTGAGTGAAACAAGTCAATCGGGGAAGGATAAACATTATATGGTCTCATTCACTTGGGGAATATAAAAAATAGTGAAAGGGAATAAAGGGGAAAGGAGAAAAAATGAGTGGGAAATATCAGGGAGGGAGACAGAATATGAGAGACTCCTAACTCTGGGAAATGAACTAGGGGTGGTGGAAGGGGAGGTGGGCGGGGGGTGGGAGTGACTGTGTGACGGGCACTGAGGTGGGCACTTGATGGGATGAGCACTCGGTGTTATTCTGTATGTTGGCAAACTGAACACCAATAAAAAATAAATTTATGAAAAAATATTCATGCTATAAATATGAAATATTTTATTTATTGTACAAACTATATTATATTGAAGAGAAATTAAAACATATATATCCAAGAAAAATAAAAACATTCACAAAGATTTACCATGGCAATCATTTTGCAAACACACATAAAATCATAATGTACATATGAAACTAATAAAATGGTTTATATCAACTATATCTTAATAAAAAAAAACCCTAAAACCCTAAATCCTTAAGCTATCATCTCTTTATCCTTCCCTAACTACCCTTCCCATTCATCCCTTCTCTGGCCCTAAGCAATCACTAATTTACTTTCACTATTTGCTTGTTCCAGACTTTTATATGAATGGATACATGTAATATGTAGTCACTTATTTTATTTTTTTAAAGATTTCACTCATCGATTTATTTTTCAAAGAGAAAGAGGGGGAAGGGAGCATATGTGCACGAGCAAGGGGAGGGGCAGAGGGAGAGAGAGGATATATATCAAGCGACTATATGCTTAGCACAGAGCCCCATCCAGGGTTTGATCCACACCCCAAGATCACAACCCTAACTGAAATCAAGAGTTGGATACCCAATTGACTGAGCCACCCAGTGCCCCCAACATAAGGCCTGAACTCATGACTTGAATTGAGATCAAGAGTTGGAAGCTTAACCAAATGAGCCACCCAAGCGCCCCTCAGATGCAGACATTGACTTCATTCAACAGTTTCAAGGGTCCCCCAAGTCCTAGGATGTATCAATACTTTATTCCCTTTATAGCAGAATACTATAACATTTTATAGATACACTACATTTTGTTTATCTATTTTCTCCATTGATGGACATCTGGGTTGTTTCCACCTATTGGCTATCATGAAAAATGCTGCTATAAATATCTATATCCTAAAAATCTTCATAAAAAACTTGTGCACAGGCACCAAAAAAAAAAAAAAAGAAAGAAAGAAAGCACTCAAACAGTTTCAGAAATGAAATAGGAGATATTACAACTGATAACACAGAAATACAAAGGGCTAGGGCAGTTAGTAGAGCTTGCAACACTTGAACTCAGGGCTCTGAGTTCAAGCCCCACTTTGAGTGAGGAGACTAAAAAAAAAAAAAAGACCCACAAGAGATACCTATCAACAATTATATGCCAAAATATTGACAACATAGAAGAAATAGATAAATTCCATGAAACATACTGTCTACTAAGAGTAATTTATGAAGAAACAGAAAATAAGAACAAACCAATTACTACCAAAAGGATTAAATCAGTAATGAGAAACCTCTCAACAAACTAGTCTAGGACCAAAAGGCAATAATGGTGAATTCTATCAAACATTTGAAGAGAAGTAATACCAATCCTTCTTAAACTCTTCAAAAACATAGAAGAGGAGTGAACATGTCCAAATTCATTTAATGAAGCCGGTAATATCCTGGTATCAAAACCTGACAAGGATGGCACAAAAGAATAAAATTATAGGCCAACATCCCTAAAAAACATAGATGCAAAACTACTCCACAAAATATTAGAAAACTGAATTCAACAATACATTAAAAGATCATATACCATGATCAAGTGGGATTTATTACAGGAACACAAGGTTGATTGTTTCAACATTCAAAAGTGAATCTATGTGAAATACCACATTAACAAATGGAGTATAGGGGCAGCCCCAGTGGCTCAGCGGTTTAGCGCCGCCTGCAGCCCAGGGTGTGATCCTGGAGACCCTGGATAGAGTCCCATGTCGGGCTCCCAGAATGGAGCCTGCTTCTCCCTCTGCCTGTGTCTCTGCCTCTCTCTCTCTCCTCTCTGTGTATTCTCATGAATAGATAAATAAAATCTTTTTAAAAAAAACGAAAAAACAAAAACAAGTGGAATATAAAAATCATATGATCATCTCAAATAGGGCAGAAAAAGTATTTGACAAAGTATCTATTTACGCTAAAAACTCTTAAAAAGTGGGTATAAAGGGAATGTACCTCAACATAATAAAGGCAATATATGACAAACCCACAACTAAAATCATACTCAATGGTGAAAAGCTAAAAGCTTTTCATAGAAGACCAGAAACAGGACAAAATGCTAATCCTCACCACTTTATCACTATTTGCAGATAACATAACGTAGAGAAAATCCATAAAGACTCCACCAAAACATTGTTAGAACAAACGAATTTAGTAAAGATGGATGATACAAAAATCACTATACAAAAATTTGTTGCATTTCTATACACTTAAATGGTCAGAAAGAGAAATTTAAAAAACCAATCCCATTTAAAATTGCATCAAAAAGATTAAGTAGAGGCATCTGGGTGGCTCAAATATTGCCCTCAGCTTCAGTCATGATCTTGGTGTCCTGGGATCAAGCCCCATGTCGGGCTCCCTGCTCAGTGCAGAGTCTGCTTCTCCCTCTCTCTCCTTCTCCCTCCCCGCCCCACTCATGTTTGCTCACTTGCTCGCTCCCTCAAAAAAAAAAAAAATGCCTAGGAATAAATTTAACCAAGGAGGTGAAAGAACTGTATACTGAAAACCCTAACACACGGATGAAACAAACAGAACACACGAATAAACAGAAAGATGTCCACTGGTCACGGAACAGAAGGGTAATAGCATTAAAATGTCCATACTAACAAAAACATACACACTCAATGCAATCTCCATCAAAAGTCCAATGGCATTTTCCACAGATAAAGAACAAACAATCCCACAACGTGTAGAGGACCACAAAAGACCCAGCAACAGTCAGAGCAACCCTAAGCAAGAACAACAAAGCTGGAGGCATCACCTTCCTGATTTCAAACTGTATCACAAAGCTCTAGTGTAATCAAAACAGTGTGGTACTGGCACAAAAGCCGACACAGAGATCAACAGAACAGAACAGAGAACCCAGAAATAAAACCACACATATATATGGTCAATCAATTAGTTCACAACAAAGGAGCCAAGAATACACAATGGGGGAGGACAGTCTCTTCAATAAACAGCGCTGGGGAGCAATCCAGGTGGCTCAGCGGTTTAGCGCCCCTTCGGCCGAGGGCGTGATCCTGGAGACCCGGGATGGAGTCCCATGTCGGGCTCCTTGCATGGAGCCTGCTTCTCCCTCTACCTGTGTCTCTGCCTGTCTCTCTGTCTCTCTCTCTGTGTGTCTCATGAATAAATAAAATCTTTAAAAAATTAAAATTAAAAAAATAAACGGCACTGGGAAAACTGAACAGCCACATGCAAAAGAATGAAATCGCACCACTATCCAGCACGATACTCAAAAATTAACTCAAAATGGGGTAAAGAATTGAACATAACACCTGAAACCACAAAACTCCCAGAAGAAAACACGGGCTTAGGTAAGCTCCTTAACATAGGTCTTAGCGAGGATTCTTTTGAATATGATACCAAAAGCAAAAATAAACAAGTAGACTACATCAAACCAAAGAACTGCGGCCCAGCAAAGGAAACCACAAACACGATGAAGAGACAACCTAGTAACGGGAGAAAAAGCACTGCACATCATGTATCTATGAGGAGCTAATACCCAAAATAAACAAAGAACTCCTACAACTCAACAGCAAAAAATAAACAATCCAAATGAAAACTAGGCAGAAGATCTGCACAGATGGTTTTCCAAAGAAGACACACAGATGGTCAACTGACATGGGAAAAGATGCTCAACATCACTCATCACCAGGGAAATGCAAACCAAAGCCACCTGAGCTATCATCTCCCACCTGTCAGAATGGCTAGGACCAAGAAGGCCAGAAATAACAAGTGTTGGCCAAGATATTGTGGAAAGGGAAGCCCTGTGCACTGCTGGTAGGAAGTAAAACGGTGCAGTTGCTGTGGAAAACAGTGCGGAGGTTCCTGGAAAAATTAAAAATAGAACTACCATATGATCCAACAATTCCATACCTGGGTATTTATCCAAAGAAAATGAAACAGTAACTCCAAAAGATATATGCAGTCCCACGTAAACTGCAGCATTATTTACAATAGCCAAGACAGGAAACAACCTAAGTGTCCACTGATAGGTGAATAAGATAAAGAAAATGTGGTTATATATACACAATGGACTATTACTCAGCTATTAGGAAAAAAATAAAGTCCTGCCATTTGCAGTAACATAGGTAGACCTTGAGGGCATTATGCTAAGGGAAATAATACAGCAAAAGACAAGTATGAGGGACGCCTGGGTGGCTCAGCGGTTGAGCGTGTGCCTTCAGCTCAGGATGTGATCCCAGAGTTCCAGGATCGAGTCCCACATCGGGCTCCTGCGCGGAGCCTGCTTCTCTTCCCTCTGCTTATGTCTCTGCCTCTCTCTGTGTCTCTCATGAGTAAATAAATAAAATCTTAAAAAAAAAAAAAAAAGAAAGACAAGTATGATTTCAGTTACATATGAAATTAAAAAAAAAAACATAAGCTCACTGATACAGAGAACAGACTGGCAGTTATAAGAGGCAGGGAGTTACATGTGGGACACAAATGGGTGAAAGAGCCATAGGTACATGTTTCCCGTTACAAAATAAGGCTAAGGAAGTAATACTGCATATGGGAACAACAGTTAACAATACTGTACTATTAGAAAGTTGATATGAGACCTTATAAGTTCTCATCACAAGAAAAAATTCCATGGCTATATGTAGTGATGGATGTTAACTAGACTTACTGTTAACAGTAAGTGATCATTTGACAATACATACATTGTGATCATGTATTGATCACATGATCATACAAATGATCTATTGTGATCATTTCACAATATATACAAACATCAAATCATTATGATGTTCACCTAAAACTAATATATGTCAATGATACTTCAATTAAAAAAAAACCTACTTACACACAAATGTTTATAGCAGCATTATTCAAAACAGAGTAGTAACAACCCAAACATCTACCAATGATGAACAGATTAAAAGAATGTTGTATAGCCATATAATAGAATATTATTCAGCCATAAATAGAAATGTAATATGGATAAACACTACAGTGTAGCTGAGCCTTGAAAACATTATCATAAATGAAAGAAGCCAGTCATAAAAGGCCACATACTGCATGATTCCATTTATAGGAAATGCACACAACAAACCAATGCATGGAAACAAAGACGATTGGTGGTTGCCAAGGTTTGTGGGGAGTGGGTAATGGGGGATTAACTGCTAATCGGTACACAGTTTCTTTTTAGGGCAATGAAAATGTTACAGAATTAGTGGATGATGGTTGCACAACTTCATGAATATACTAAACCCCACTGAAGTGTATACTTTAAGAGGGTGAATTTTCTGGTATGTAAATTATATCTCCATTTCTTTCTTTTTTTTTTAAAGATTTATTTATTTATTTTTATTTATGATAGACACACACACAGAGAGAGAGAGAGAGAGAGAGAGAGAGAGAGGCAGAGACACAGGAGGAGGAGAAGCAGGCTCCATGCCGGGAGCCCAACGTGGGACTCAATCCCGGGACTCCAGGATCACGCCCTGGGCCAAAGGAAGGCGCCAAACCGCTGAGCCACCCAGGGATCCCCTAGATCTCCATTTCTTAAAGGATGGCAGGGTCTATTTCTCCACCACTTGTTTGATGTGGTTCTGTGACTTGTCTTGACCAAAAGAATGCAGATATGACACCCTGAGACTTCCAAACCAAGACCTGAGGAGGTCCTGAGGATTCCACTATCACCTCAAAGGTTGTTTTCCCCTAGAATGGGAAACTACCTAAGGGAGAAAGGCCAGGGTGGAAGCCAGCACCAAATACCAAGTATGTGAGAAAATTTCTGTCGGATCATCCAGTCCCTGCAAAGCCACAAGCTACCTGCTGACACAGTAATAAACTTAGGAGAAATCAGGTGAGCCTAGCTCAAATTGCTATACAGAATTATGAGCAAAAAGAATACTTCTATCAATTAAAACACACACACACAAATTAAATACCCTAATAACCTATCAAACATTGTACATTTATTTTTTTACTTTCCATTCTGTCATGTTAAATAATGCTATGAACATTTTAATGCAGATGGAAACCATCTCTCCTGTTTAAGAGATTTGGTCCTCCCTAACAAAATAAGCTCAATTAATCTAATAACTGACTAGTAAAATAACTCACAAAGCTAAATTTTCTTAAACGTTTAGAAATCAGGTGCCCCTGGGTGGCTGAGCAGGTTAAGTGTCTGCCTTCAGCTTATGTCATGATCCCAGGATCCTGGGATCAAGACCCAAGTTGGGCTCCCTGCTTAGCTGGTAGTTTGCTTCTCCCTCTGCCTCTGCCTGCCCCTCCTCCATCTGTGTACTCTCTGTCTCTCTCTCAAATAAATAAAATCTTAAAAAAAAAAAAAAGTTTAGAAATCAAATAACCATGTTTGGCATTACTATCCCTACAATTTAATTTTTTAAGATTATATTTATTGGGGAGGAGAGGGACAAAAGTAAGGAGAGAGAGAAGCAGACTCCCCCTGAGCAGGGAGCCTAACACAGGCTCAATCACAGGACCCCAGGATCATGACCTGAGTTGAAGGCAGATGCTCAACTGACTGAGCCACCCAGATGCCCCCTTTCTCTACAATTTACAAGCTCTGAATTAGTGACATTGAACCTGACCCTCAGAGTCTTTTTTTTTTTTTTAAGATTTTATTTATTTATTCATGAGAGACACAGAGAGAGGCGAGACACAGGCAGAGGGAGAAGAAGGCTCCATGCAGGGAGCTCGATGTGGGACTCGATCCCTGGTCTCCAGGATCACACCCCGGGCCACAGGCAGCGCCAAACCGCTGAGGCACCGGGGCTGCCCTGACCCTCAGAGTCTTGCGAAGGTTTACATACCAGACTTCACTGGGTCACATTACAGTGAAACACATAGTTTTGTGAAGTGTATTTTTTAACATTTGTTAACAGTATCTAAGACGATTCTTTAGGAGCTCATTTCCAGAAACTAAAGAATAAAGCTCTATTCATTTGAAAGAAACATAATTGGTATTACCACCATAAATCATAAACAAGCTAATATGCTTTCCAATGCAATATTTCTAAGTGAGTTCTAGGAACGTATACTTTTGATTAAATTGTGATACTGAGAGCACCAGGGTGGCTCAGTGGTTACGCATCTACCTTTGGCTCAGGTTGTGACCCTGGGATCAAGTCCTACTTCAGACTCCCTGTGGGGAGTCTGCTTCCCCCTCTGCCTATATCTCTGCCTCTCTCTCTAAGAATAAATAAATAATTTTTTTAAAAATTGTGATACTGAAATATTTATTTTTCTAAGCAAAGCCTGAAAATGTCATTTATATTAATTTAAAGATAATTTCCTATAAAACTATATTTGGATTTTTTTTTTTAGATTTTATTTATTTATTCATGAGAGGCAGAGAGAGAGAGAGAGAGAGAGAGAGAGAGAGAGAGAGAGAGAGAGGAGAGAGAGAGAGGCAGAAACACAGGCAGAGGGAGAAGCAGGCTCCATGCTGGGAACCCGACATGGGACTCAATTCCGGGTCTCCAGGATCACACCCTGGGCCGAAGTTGGCGTTAAACTGCTGAGCCACCAGGCTACTCTAGATTTTTTTTTTTTAATTCTTTTATTTATTTGAGAGATCGAGCAACTGTCCACAAGAGAGAGCATGAGGGGGGGAAGGGCAGAGGGAAAAGCAGACACCCTGCTGAGCACGGAGCCCAATGTGTGTGGGGGGTGACCCCAGTACCCTTAGATCGTGACCTGAGCCATAGGCAGATGCTTACCTGATTGAGTCACTCAGGTGCCCCAAAACTATACTTTTTACAAAATCATTTATCAGGGGCACCTGGGTGGCTTGGTTCAACACCGGACTCAGTTTCGGCTCATATCATGATCTCAGGGTCTCAAGACTGAGCCCCGTGTTGGGCTGCACTCAGTGCAAAGTCTGCTTGAGATTCTCTCATTCTCTATCTCCCACTATCCCTCCTTTCTCCCTCCCTTCCTCTATAATAAATTTAAAAAAAAAATCATTTATCAAGATGACAGAATTAATGGTGGTATCAAAACATTTCTTTTTGTAAGTAATACACCATGTGACATGATTCTTTTAACATCATGGCAGTGGCTATTAGAGTTAAATATATAATAATCATATACTTTATCCAGTACCTTCTTTTAAGTCATATGTAGAAAAAGACCATTTTTAATTTCTACTGTTAATCTGCTATTAGTATATAACAAAATTTCTAACAGGCAACTTTGGCTAATGTTGTTTGAGACACTGACATAAAAATTCACCTAAAGAATAAAAAATTCTCTCTTGTTTTCAAACTTCATTTTATAGAAAGGAAAATAATTTCATGTCCTTAAGCCTATCTTCAAAGTGTTAAGAGTTGATTCAATAGAATATTTTACTTCTACATTAATTTTCCCCAGAAAACAAAGGTGTTAATAAAGACAAACAAAATTAGCTCTTGCATAATTGACCTAATGCCTAAATGAGCTCTGTCTTCATTTCAATGATATTAAAAACTTATACATATTATCAATCCAAGAGTGAATTTCAGCTCAGCAGCAGCAATGTAAAGGGCAGTGCAAGAATTATATAGCTGAAGTAGTACTGGAATTGAAGAAAATTACTCTTAGCTTGAGAAGTATTAGTTATGAGAAAAAAAACCAATTCATGTGTACTGACATGCAGCAAAAAACCAAACCAAACCAAACCAAAAAAAAAACAGTGCTGGGGACTTCTAAAGAATGTATAAAAAACTGAATTCTTGACAGAATCTTTTAATTTCAGATAATGATATACTGCCTTGACAGAAACATCACTGAGGAGGAAAAAACAACCAATAACAATCACCTTATTAAAAAATGTAGTCAACATGGGGCACCTGGCTGGCTCAACCGTAGAGCATGCAGCTCTTGATCTTGGGTTTGTGAGCTAGAGCCCCATGTTGGGTGGAGAGATTACCTAAATAAATAAAAAAAATCTAATCAACAAATGTCAAAAGTCAATGTGATATTTTAAAATTATCCTTGGAAGTCCTACATTCAAAATCAGAAAATAGGATATTCTCTAAGTCTTAAACTTAATATAAAGATACAGAACTTACTGCCTGTGCTTGCTTGATAAACTCAAGAATATCTTCTTTTAAAGCCTGATGAATTTTTGCTGGACCTTTATCATCCCAGAGACAGACTGCATGCACATCCCTGTGAAGGTAAAGCAGGGAAACAAACATGAACACCTGTACAAGGACAAAGACAGAACTCACATCACGTTCTGTATGAATACAGTTCCCACAGACCATGCCGCACACAGCCCAGGGTAGATGAATCCATTCTAAGAACCACAGAATTCTAAGTTACCTAACACACAGATTTTTTCTGATTTTTATTTTACTTTGTTATTGTCTTCCTCCTTAAATCTCTGCTACTAACTGTATTATCTTTAATTATAAAAGCACGCTCCCATCTTTAAATCTCATACCCCAAGTTGACTATCACCAATTTTTTTCTTATGTTAAATATAAATTATTTTAATTCTTTATCACAATATATGTAAATTCTCTTTAAAAATTAGTCATTTAAATATAGCAAATCTCTTAGCTTCCCCCATATATTTGTTTTATTTACACACAAATTACCACTTTATCTCCTTTATTTAAAAAGAAAACAAAAACAAAAGCTCTCCTAAACTGGTATACAAAAACTCTGAATTTATAAAGCTGACATTATAGAAATATATTTAATAGTAATATAACATGTTGAAAAGTTAATTTCTTAATTACCACATTACAGAGTAGGTGAACTTATAATAAAAGGATAGAGTTTTATTATCGAGGATTCTTTTATTCAAAAAATGTTCCCCAGTGACTCATTTAGTATCTAATGGAGCCACTGCTATAAAAAATGTCAAAGAAATCAAAATAAGAGGTCTCCAGAATTGTAACATTCTAGCAATGGCCAAACAGCTTGTTCTATATCCAGATTCTCAAGGACATCATTATAACTCAAAGTTACATCTGCATATTATTAATTTGAACTTGCTTTTGTCACCTGTTAAATTTAGCTTTCAGCTTAAGAGTGGTATCTAGAGCTCACTGCCTAGCATGCGGCAAACACACAAGTATTTGCTAAATAAGAATATAATAAGGACCATCTGATTGCTTACTATGTGCTACTTACTATTTTAAGCTGTTTTAATTCATTTAACCATCACAGCAACTCTGAAGGCAGTACTATTTTTATCACCATTTTACAGATGGGGAGACTAAGGCAAATAAAGGTTAAGGAATGTTCCCAAGATTATACTTCTAGTGTATTAGCAGCATACAGTAGACCCATGAATAGATTATGGTAATACCCTACATTAATAAGTTAATAAATACCCTATGGTAAAACCTCTATGTTCTTCTCCCTAATCCTACTCTCTTCCACTCTTCCCAGAAGTAACCAAGACCAAATTTAGTATTATTTTTCAAGTTTTACAACAGACTATGAACTTCATAGAAATTGTAGCAAACAAGCAGGGGTGCCTGGGTGGCTTAGTTAGTAAGCCTCTGACTCTTGAGCTGGGGCTGGAGCCTGCTTAAGATTCTCTCCTGGGTGGTTCAGACAGTGAAGTGTCTGCCTTCAGCTCAGGTCATGATCCTGGAGTTCTAGGATTGAACCCCTTCCTCCCCATTCATGCTCTGTCACTATCTCTGTCTCTTTCTCTCAAATAAATAAATAGAATCTTAAAAAAAAAAAAGATTCTCCCTCTCCCTCTCTCCGGCTCTTAAAAATAAAGGGGGTGGGGGGAAGAAATTGTATCAAACAACTGTTTTTTCGAATGAGTTTTCCCTCAACATTGCTCCTGGTATTTACCCACAACAGATGCATGTAGTCCTAGTTCATGCACTTATCTGTTATATCAAATAGTATTTGAATATAAAGGGAAGGAGTAGTAGCAAACAGTAATATACGAAATTAAATCTGGATGGTTAAGAATACATTCTCTTGGAATATATAACCAAAGTGTTTTTTTTTTCTTTTTTCAAAGTGCTTTTTAAAAAGGACATGTAAGTGAAATTGTTTTTAACTACTTAACTGTATTAGAAAAATCAGGCAGGAAGTGGGAGAGGGATAAAGTAAAGGTTTTTCAAAGGTTTCAAGGCGACAGAGAGAAGGGGTGGGAGAAGGAGCAAGAAAGGGCAGCCTGGGTGGCTCAGTGGTTTGGCGTCTGCCTTCGGCCCAGGGCGTGATCCCGGAGACACAGGATCAAGTCCCGTGTCGGGCCCCCTGCATGGAGCCTGCTTCTCCCTCTGCCTGTGTCTCTGCCTCTCTCTCTCTCTCTCTCTCTCTCTCTCTGTTTCTCACGAATAAATAAATAAAATCTTAAAAAAAAAAAAAGGAGCAAGAAGTAAAAAGCATTCCAAAGGTTTCAACTTCCTTGGGTACAAAGATAAAATAGAAAGTATGACTCTAGTTAGAAAACAACTATTTTACTTTTGACTAATAGTAACATTCTATGCCTCTGATGGAGAGTCAGAAAAAGGAATGTAGCTGCCGCCATGGCGCCCGTGAAAAAGCTTGTGGCGAAGGGCGGGTAAAAAAAAGAAGCAAGTTCTGAAGTTTACCCTTGATTGCACCCACCCGGTAGAAGATGGAATCATGGATGCTGCCAATTTTGAGCAGTTTCTTCAAGAGAGAATGAAAGTGAATGGAAAAGCTGGGAATCTCGGTGGAGGGGTTGTAACCATCGAAAGAAGCAAGAGCAAAACTACTGTAACTTCTGAGGTGCCTTTTTCCAAAAGGTATTTGAAATATCTCACCAAAAAATATTTGAAGAAGAATAACCTCTGTGACTGGTTGCGTGTAGTTGCTAACAGTAAAGAGAGTTACGAGTTGTGTTACTTCCAGATTAACCAGGATGAGGAAGAGGAGGAAGATGAGGATTAAAACTCATTTATCTCAAATATTTTGTATGAGTTCTTGAATAAAACTTGAAACCCCCCCCCAAAAAAAGAAAAGAAACAGGAATGTAACCATTAATGGAAGTGAACTTCCAGATTAAGAAAAATAAGGAAAAAAAAATAAGGAAAAAAAAAAAAGGAAAACAAAAAAATGAAGAAACAAGAATATCTACTAAGTGATAGAGAAGCAATAAAACAAGAATATAAAAAAAAACCAAGAATATCAGTAGTAATACTAAACATGAATGCAATAAATTACCCCATTAGAAGACAGTATGCCTTTGAAAAGGACCACAGTGGATTATTGCACTTACATAAGGAACCTAGAACAGGAAAATCCATGGAGACCAACAACTCAGAGCTTCTGTGTAAGACGATGAAGATGTTCTAAAAAATGGATCATGTTCATGTTTGCACAACACTGTGAATGTACCCAGTGCCAATGAAATGTAAAAGAATGAACTGCTTAACGTGGTATATTTTATATAATGTACAATTTACCAAAAAAAAATTTTTTAAGAAAAAAAAAATAAAACCATGTCATAAGAGATAACAGACAAACACAAACTAAAAAAAAGCAGGGTGGCAATATTAGTGTGATCTAAAGAGGAATTTAAGGTTGAAAGAACTAGAGAAAAGAAATATTATGTAATGATAAAAAACATTATTTAGCATTACATTATACAAAATAATCAGGAATATAAGAACTTGATAAAAATACAATAGAATACTTAAAACATCCTTACTTGCCTTAGTGAGGATGCACTTAGCTAAAATATTAAATTCGATTAACAGTGTGGCTCAGATTATTATGTTACTTTTCTTAAATAACTTGGAGTCTAGGGTTAGGCAGCTGCTGGTGCCCGTGCAGAGACTAAGAGGATCTTTCTCTTTCCACTTGGCTGCGTTAGCACATTAGACTCTTATCCCTGTGAGGATTAAAGGTGAAAAAGGAGGACTGAGCCAGGCACATTAGTTTAATTGATCTGAAAAGCAAAACCTTTCTCAGAAGGCCTCCTGTAAACCTATTTGCTGGAATTTTATCACATGGTGACCCAAACAGCAAGGGAAGCTGAAGAAGTATTAGAATACGCAGCCACGTGGAAAGTACACAAGGAACATAAAACCAGGAATGGGGTGTGGCTTGGCTAGTCAGAAGTGTCTATCACAAGATCTCTTAACATTTGAAAATCTAGAAAAAAATTAAGGACAAAGAAAAAATTTTTTAAATACAATCAATATATATTATTAGAGATTCTTATTTACAACTATCAAAAAGATTATTTTTTCGGGGCTCTTGGTTGGCTCAGTTGGTGAAACATTTGACTCTTAATCTCAGGGTCATGAGTTCAAGTGTCCCACATAGGGTACAGAGTTAACTTAAAAATGAAATCTTAGGGCAGCCCCGGTGGCTCAGCGGTTTAGCGCCACCTGCAGCCCAGGGCGTGATCCTGGAGACCCTGGATCGAGTTCCACGTCAGGCTCTCTGCATGGAGCCTGCTTCTCCCTCTGCCTGTGTCTCTGCCTCTCTCTCTCTCTGCATCTCTATGAATAAATAAAATCTTTTAAAAAAAATGAAATCTTAAAAAAATAATAATTTTTACCTAAGAGCATATGTACCCATATAAAATTTTTTTTAAGATTTTATTTATTTGTTCCTGAGAGAGAGGCAGAGATACAGACAGAGGGAGAAGCAGGCTCCAAGCAGGGAACCCAATATGAGACTCGATCCCTGGACGAAGGGATCACCCCCCTCGGCCTAGGCAGGCGCTAAACCACTGAGCCACCCAGGCATCCCATAAAATTTTTTAAAGGTACTTTTACAGGCTATTTCTCTGATCATAATCTATAAACAAGAAGTGACCAAAAAAGACATCATTGTTAGAAATTAAGTTGCGGGCAGCCCGGTGGCTCAGCAGTTTGGCGCCACCTTCAGCCCAGGGCGTGATCCTGGAGACCCGGGATCGAGTCCCACGTCAGGCTCCCTGTGTGGAGCCTGCTTCTCCCTCTGCCCCTCTCTCTCTCTCTCTCTCTTTCTCTCTCTCTCTCTCTCTCTCTGTGTATTCTCATGAATAAATAAAATCTTTTAAAAAAAGAAGAAATTAAGTTGCTAGATAATGCATGGATTAAAGAAAATTCACTAACAATCAAGAGAGCAAAAGAAAAGCATTTTGTACTGTAAAACCTATGGTAGCAATAAAAGCAGTATTTAAAAAATGTATAGCCTTGAATGCTTTCATCTGAAACAAAAAGATC